TTATATGCTTTCTGAAGCTTTTGTCGCAGGTCATCCTTCTCCAGGGGCCGCACGACATCTACAATGTAGCTCTCCCCGCATTTAATCCATTCCTTGGGCCACGGTATTGTGGATCTTGCTTCTTTTAATGAAATTATGCGTACACGCTCCTTGGCCTCCACGGTGCATTCCGCAAGAACAGGATTCTTCTTAATGTGCAGAGCAAAGATGGAAGGACGGGCCTGGTCGCGAATATCCAAAATGTCGGCAAAACCCTCTGTTAAAACCATCACAGACCGCTCCCCATTGTGCTCCAGAAGCGCATTCGTGGCGACTGTGGTTCCCATGCGGACCTCGTCCAGGTATTCGTTTTCTATCAAACCTCTGGCAGGCACCACATCAGGGATATAGCAACGCATAATGCGTCGAATACCTTCACTTGGAGCGTCAGGGTAATGCTGCGGATCACACGACAACAGCTTGAGTGTCTTCCAATGCGTTGTTCCATCCTCAAACGTGACGTCCCCCACGAAATCCGTAAAGGTTCCTCCCCGATCAACTGAGATACGGAAACGTGGATACTTTAAGTTCATAGTCAGTGCTTCCCTTTATTTCTTTGACGCTTACAAAGGGGGGCAGGGTCCACACACACACACAAAAAAAAAAAAAAAAAAGAAACAAACATGGAAAGATGATTAAATTCCATCAAAGAAGCATTATATTTGTGTAAGGGGGAAAAAAAATCAGGTTACCACATACATCTAATATATATATATATATATATTGCTTGTCGTTTCTTTCCCCGAAATTTTCACACTTCCATAAAAATTCACCTCAGGAAAGCCAAAATAAAAGCAAATGAAAGAATGTGCAAAAAATCAGCTAATTTTTTCCCTTTTTTTCCTCTTTGAACCGGTATTCCACAGTCGTATACAAAACACTGCCGTAGCTGCTAACAGGAGCAATACCGATGTACTTACAACGGTTGAAACAACCTGCAGAAGTGTGTGCTGGGGCCATATGTGGCGTTGGAGAAATTGAATCAAAGAAGTAAAAACAGGTAACGGAGCAGAACGTGGGTAATACACAGTTGAGCAATCTCCATTTTCTGTATTTTCTTTGGATGGGTCCTCACATGTCCGTTTCACCGCAGAAGTGAACGTATTAAAGCGGCCCTTCGTACCGCCTCCTCCATCGATTGTAAACACATCTAATGGCAACGACAGCTGCAGAACGGCCTTTCCTTTTTGCGGAATGCTGTGAATAAAGACGGAGACGTTTATGTACCTCTCAAATTGGTGCCTCTGTGCCTTGCCGTCGCGTTTTAAGGCCATGATAAGAGCCTCGGGGTCTGCCGTCAAACGCACGACACCAAAATTTCTTTCAATGTAAACACCCACGCGGCGTGGACTGGGAAATAATGTCCTCATTAAAGTAGGCAAACCCCAAAATACGGCGGAACTGTGCGTCAGTCCGGAGCTCGTCGCCTCAAGAATGGGGTACCCGAGCGCCTCCATGGCGTCCTGTGTGTTGTCCATGCCAATCTCACCGAGGTGCACATCGCCGCTAATAAAAATCACTCGTTCGCTCTTATATCGGCGGAGCAGCAAAAAAAGGCGGTTTCGCGAGAGCGGAAATGCACCCCAGCTTTCGGTCACCTTCTCGTCCATAATCACCTGCACTCCGCTCCCCACGATTGTCAGTGCACATCGTTCCCGGCCGCTGACTGGGTTCTGCCCCGCCACGTCATTGCGGAGACGCTCCTCAAGCCATTTCCACTGCACTTCACCCAACATATCACCACTACGAGTGGCATTTGAGGGTTCACGAAAGTAGCGTGCGTCCAAAAGAAGAAAGCACACAGCATGATCATATAAGCTATGCAACTCTTTTATTGCGGCGGATTTCGCGGGATTGACGCTGGCATTTGAATCCAACGCCCGAAATGGAACGGTTTCAAAAACGTATACACCCTTTTGCTTTCTGCGCGGGCTGTTCTTCGCAACACCTAGGAAATCCAAAAAAAACTGTTGTGTGGCGTCCTTGTCAGCGTATTCTGCCCCACCGTCGTTCTTGCCCATGTCATGGTCGTCCCAGACACCCATAACAAATTGCGTTTCTTCTCCGTCCTCACGGAAAGCCAAGTTTTGGCGCTGGCGCACACATGTCTGGCGAAAGGCGACATATTCCGAGGCGTTTCGTTGTTTTGTAAACCTTGAACGGACCAACTCCAAATCGGTGTTCGGATAGCAACCCCTAAAGGCACTAAAATTGTCCGCGTACACCGCATCGCCAAGCCAAACGAGTGCATCCACGGGGGAATTCGCCGCACAACTGCCTGTAGCACGCTTTAGTGGCTTATTCAGCTGCCCAGCGTCTTTTCCGTGCTCGACGGTGGCCGCAATCACATCCCAGTAGTTCTGATCCCGGTCGTGTTTGTTGCAGCTGACAAAAACAATTTGTGCGAGTTCGTGGCTCCCCTCTTGTGCTGCCGCGACAATCCCAATGGACAAAATCATGAAGAGGAAGCAGAGCAACGACGCTGCCCAAGCCGCTGTTTTGGCGCTTCCCTTTTCGTCGCTCATCACAATCCGCATTTGTAAAGCGCACCCAAAAAATAAACGAGTTTCGATCACAGTTCTTCTCACAATTCCGTTTCATTGCAGAGGAATAAAAAAGCAGAAAACAAAACAAAACAAAAAAAGAGAAAAAAAAAAAAAGGCTCACAGACATGTGGAAAAGAGGGCGACAAGAGGGAAGGCCAAAAAAAAGGAAATAAAAAAAAAAAGGTCTGCCCGAAGCAACAAATTAAATTCACTCGGCATACAACTATCATTATCGAGGCATACGCAGAGACAATGGAACAGAAGGGAACGGAAACACGCCCCAATAAAAAACACAAGACCCAAAAGATTATGAGTCATCACCAACAGCAACAGCAAAAAAAAAAAAAAAAAAAAGAAACTCTCAGCAAAACAAGAGAGGAAAAAAAAAAAAAATTGTGCACATCTTCAATAATATATACCACACAGCGAGCAAACAGGAAGGAAAAATATATAGAACATTCTTCTGTGTACATGATAATGGCAATGACGCATAAAAATTCCCCCACAGAAAAAAACAAAACAAAAATGAGGGCTCTTTGAAGGGGGAAATCAAAATAAATAAAAAAAAGATACAAAAATTACATCAGGCGGTGGGAGGTCATGTAAAAAAAGTTTTTCTCCCACATTTGCACATGCGCATAATACAATTATTGGCAGAGGCAGCGGCAATTTTTACTTCCTCTTCCTCCAGTCCTTCAACAAATCCCAGGCGCTGTTTTATTTGTTTTCCTTTTTGTTTTTATTAACTTTCTTCAAATGGAAGATAAAACTCCCCGTCACTGCGACAACGGCGCCGTAAAACACACACCAGTGCACAGTTGGCCAGACCGCAAGCCACACGCAAAAAAAAAAAAAAAAAAGAAACGACGGCCACTTCTCAATTCCTCCACCGGCTCGCATGTTTTGAAACCTCTTCTTGGAGTCCCGCTCTGCACCTCCAGTCTCCGCCGTTCTTTTTTTTCTTTTTTTTTTTTTGTGTGTGTTTTCTTTTCGCTGCTATAATGACATGCGCGTCAACCCCATTTACTTTCCGTCTCCAAACGCTCATTTCCCTCAAAAACAAAAAAAAACAGCAACTCTCACAAAATGAAAAAAGACAACTACAAAAAACACACACACACAATCTCTTGTCATTTGCTTCCCTTCTGTGCCCATTACAAATCATAGCCAATGAATGGTCGTGGTTGAAGAGGCAAATGAGCAAAAACCACATCAACCACAAAAAAATCCGCACCCGCGGCGCCAAAAAGATTATACACAATAAAAGCAATTGAATGCATTTCTCAAAAAGAAAAAGGGATAGTGACAAAAAGGAAGACAGAGAGAAAGAAGAGGGGGAAAAAAAAGAGAAGGGAGAACAGAGTTTTAGATGCATGCGTAATTGCGTATCAAAATACCACATCATCCCATCATCAGCAATTGCCATTTCAGGCGTGGTGCAAAGAAAAAGGCCTTTGCTGTCTCCAGCTCCACAATACATTTTTATTTCCCGGTTGTGGAAGCTGCAAAAAACTTCCCACAGGAGTCGTCCATTTCATTCATTCCAAAACGCTTCTTTTTTTCATGATGGTCGCCATGCCTGTCAGAACTGCTGCGTATGTGCGCTTTTTCCACTCATGTAACAGAGAGGGATCCTTCATATTCTCCGAGGCAGACTTCTTGCACGACGCACGTGGCATAAATCGCATCCCCAGAAGAGCGTCTCCTGTCATTATGATCTACCTCATTTGCGACACCCCTAGCGATTTCATGGTTGGCTACCTCACCGTGTTGCCAGGGTCAATTACCCCCGTATTGCCAGGGGAGTCCAGGAGCCAGCAACGTTTCCCCCACGAAATTGCTGTGTGTCTTGGCACAGGCCTGACGTCATCGATCAGCGCCCGGGCCAGCCGTGTCCTACTAGAGCACAGTTGTAACACCATGAGGTCTGAGGGGCACGTTTTGCCGCAATGTGGAACACCAAATTTATTTGAGAAAACACAAGAAAAAAAAACTAAAAAAAAATCATGTGCAACCAACTGCTCCCGCTTCTAGTGGTGTTTTTCGATGGCATTTCGTGCAGAGAACCAAAGCCCCCACCACTCTTGCGCTTCCCATGACTCTATTCTACTCCGGTCTCCCTCCTCCTTTTCCTCAAGTAATCTTATGAAAAGGCGCTGCACAACAATCATCTGGATGGGTGAACCCATTGCCGTGATGGAAATTCTTCTGGATTCCAATTCACTATTCCCATTGAAAGAGCTTGAGGGAGGGAACCCAACTACCGTGTGCAACATCTGCGAGTATTTCTCTGCCTCTAACACCGCACGCAGAGCCTCTTCCTGCCAATACACATTCTCTTCCCGTAAATCCTCCATCGCCCACGAGGGGTCCGCATCACGCTCTCTCTGTGAATGCACCATGTTTGCTCCAGTTGTTGTGCTGAACGGTAATTCCTCACTCTCAAGACTTTCACCCACCAAAAACCCCGCATGAGAATTCGTAATCCCAATAATCGGTTGATGCGATCGAGAACTCATCGCTTGCAGGCTTCCGCAACGCGAAAAAAGAGAAGACGGTCGTCGAACATAAAAATTTGCGTCGCGTGGAGACAAAATTTGTTGTTGTGGTGTTTGCGGTGTCTTTTGTAAATTGAGCTGAGGTGAGGAAAAGATGCGTGCTGAATCTTGCGTCTCACATACACCGGGGTTTTTGGACACTAATTGATCGTAATTGGCCACCAGGATGGCTGGCATTTGCTGCAACTTATCCAGTGCCCCCTTGACATCCATGAGAGATCCCTTCAACCCTGGGTTGAAGGCACGGCTTAAGTGTTCTTCAGGAGTTTGAAGAACCTCTTCGGCTGATATGTTTGCAAACCTAGAAACCCCCACCACCATGTCTGTCACCTCTCTTAATTGCTTAACAGCCTCTTCCCAGTAGCACATGACCCGCCGCAGCATCTCTATGCAGGCATCAGCTGTGTTGCAAATGAACCGTCGGTAAAACGTCTCATCATCCTCTAGTTGTCGAATGCAACATTTTATAGACGTTGCAGAGTTTATGGAATTTGTACCCGTCACGGCATCTTCTCCCATCATTCCATTTAAATCAACTTCATGCACCAATAAAGAACTTCCTTCCGGAACACCGGCAAGCCGCTGTATCTTCTGAGACACACCCTGCATTTGTGCCTCAGGACGCGGGAGATCGGACTCCAAAGAAACCTCCGACGGATCAAGTAAAGAGCGTGTAGACTTCACACGGGTGGGCGCGGCCGCGATTTTGCGACCTGGCGACGGCCCATTTCCTTTCACTTGTGCCGCTCGAACGCTGCTGTTGCTGCTTCTGTGAGGAACCGAATTCCCCGCGAGGTGACGGTCACGTAAATCAACACGTTGAGCGGAAGAACCGCTTGATGACCCCATAAAATTTGGAGAGCTTGCTGGCAAGGCGTGACGAATTGGGGAGTTTCGCAACGTTGTTGGTGCTATCGTTCCAGCACTCCCATTGGGAGGCTCTCTAAATTCGCCTAAAATACGCTGAATATGGAGCTGCGCGCGCGGAGTTGCCTCTTCAAGCATGTATATATATATATATATTATATTGTATTATATTATATTATATTATATTATATTATATATATATATATCTTCGTCGAGTTACTAAATGATAGCACAGTCCTCCCCCTTCTTCTCTTTCTTACTCCTATAACCCTTCAGTTCACTGCTCTTATCCCTGCAACAGTTGTGGCTGTGAGTGCAGCCCGTGTATTGCTTGGTGCGTATGGGTAGAGACAAGTGTGTGTGTGTGTGTGTGTGTGTGTGTAGGGGGTGGGGGAAAGAAAACCATAACAAAAAAAACAAGGGCAGTTGACTACAACATCCAACCAACCAGAGGAGACGTCCAGAGTGATTTCAGACACCTCTCAACCCATTTTTTTTTTTTTTTCAAAAATGGAGAGAAATAAAATAAACAGTTAGATAAAAAGAATCGTGGGAGAAAGCAGAAAAAGAGGAAAAATGTACACAAAAACAGAGAAATAAAAAATTCATCTATTTGATCTTTCAGACGTTTCTCCCCCCCCCCACCCCCCC